GGTGATTGAAAATATGGTGCACGTGGTGCTTCAATCGCGGTCATCCAAAATCGTGGTGGAAGAGTGCGACTAGCGGAAGGATCGACATGATCCGTGCGGCGAGGGCCGGGAATCTGCCGTCCGAGCGGTCACACTCCAAATGATCACAATCGAAACATCACGTGCACCCTATTTTCAACCACGCAGGGTTACTACATTTAACTCTTACGCGCCTTTTCAAACCATACACAGGGGTGGAACTCACGAAATGTACTAGGGAGCAGCCACGGGAGCAGCTGAAACAGCTGTTTTGAAGCAGGTTGGGAGCAGCTAAAACTACATTCTGGAGCAGTCTAGGAGCAGTTCAAACCAGCTTTCATTGCACTTCAACTTGTGTCTTAGACAAGCACGGGAGCAATTTCAACTGTGCTTAGCAGCACACATGAACTTGTGAGGTTAGGAACCTAGATAGATGGGATAACAGTGTAACAGATGGAAACTTTGTGAGCCTTAATGAGAACCAAAAAGCAAGTATCATGTGTTTCTGAAGATGGTGTCCTTGATATTTTCCGAGTGGTTGTCAGCTGCTCAAAATGTAAACCAGCACTGCTTATCGCACAACCCAGACGTGCTCGCAATGGTAATTACAAGTGCGAACCACGCGACGCGCGTCGCAGGGAGGAACAGGACAAAAAATTTCAGTTTATCCTATTGTGCAACTCAATATCGAAGCAGCAGTCTACGATTAACGGAGTTATCGTATTCTAAGGGACAAGCAAGAGCAAGGTTAAATCAAGTCAAACTGGACGTTTAGTGATTTATACAGCGTAAGGTCGGTCTGCCAGGTTGATGCGACACTGGTTTACACTGTAGATGAGCAATTCTGCCAGTGCAGTACGACTGTTAACCTAAGGTCTTTAACGTGCTCACGCAATAGTGATACACGACCGCACGCCGGTACGATGCTCATCCAGATCAAAACAGGCAGGGGTGGAGCTCGAACCCAGAATCTCTGGGTTCTGCAGGGCGAGCTTTCGCTCCACGCGCGTCGAGCTGGGTGTGCGCTTTAGCCCACTCGGCCACCGATTTCCCGGCAAGGTTAAATACGCCGAGCAGATCTACCGCTTTCGTGAGAGCTGCTGGCCGGCAAGGTTTCAGATCGGACCGTGTTTCAGTTCTACGAAATCACGATTTATCTCGCGGGAATGCGGTTCCAACTCTTAACGATGAAGTACTAAAAGGAACCTTTTGCTCACGTGTTTTCAAGTGGCTGACGTCCGGATCTTGGGCCACAGAGCCTCAGGCAATCTGACGCTTAATGACTCGACCTCACCTCAGCCGACTTGTTTAACCGTTTATGGTTGAGAAATAACAATCCAGTCGCAGGTGATGTAGCGCTTGGAATCAGACCCTCGAGTTTTTTCGCGCGCTTCCGACTCGGGATATACAGGGAGAATAAGGAGAACAAAGGATTGCAAGGCTGACCAAGCTAACGCGCCCATTGTTGCCAATTGAGTCGATAGACACCAAAACCATGACAAATACAATTGTTTTGGAGCACGTTTTGTGATTTGGTGCATAATGGCGCGAGGTTTGGCTGTGGCAGTTTCCGCAAAAAGCGCAGGATGGTACAGGCAAATGCGTCTGGCGCAAAATGGCGCAGCCGTTCCACCCCTACATATACCTATGATTAAAACTGTTTGTCGCTAGCACCGCGAGGGGATTCTTTTCGGCTTCTCGTTGGCCTAGAGAGCATGTAAAGCCCCCTTTCTGCATCTGGTGCACGCCCTGGTTCTGCCCGTGCGTCCCACAGACCAAACTCTCTCTATACATGACTCTGGGAGGGATCGGTGGCCGAGTGGTCTAGCGCACACCAGCTCGGAGCCCATGGAGCGAAAGCTCGCGCTGCAGAACCCAGGGATCCTGGGTTCAAGCCCCACCCCTGCCCGTTTCGATCTGGATGAGCATCGTACCGGCGTGCGGTCGTGTATCACTACCGCGTGATGCACGTTCAAAACCCCAGGCTAGCGTTTGTACCGCACTGGCTAAATTTCTCATCTCCAGCTGGGAGACTCGTCGCCCCTGTGAGGCAGACCAAGTTCTAGGCTGTATAAGCATACACACAACCCAATTTTTTAGATGCGGAGCATCTCTTGCTCGGGTCTATGTCCCGCGGCGTCGTAGTCCGCACTCACACTACGCATGCGCAACTCTCCTCCCTCTCTCCAACAGCTGCGCGTTACTCTCTTCGCTCTCTCTCTACCAGCTGCGTGCACTTCACGTGCGTTCGCTTCTACTCACACCGCGCGCGCATGCGCAACTCTCCTCTAGTCTTCTCTCCTTCATGTGTGAATATAAGCAGCGGTAGCGCGCTGCGCGCGTTCAGTTCACCGCTGTTGACTCCACTTCACTCCGTTCTTCCGATGAAGTGTGATGGAAGCAACAGTCCCGTCAGTGAGTGGGTTGGCGCAAGCAAGCGTCAGCACCACCCCACAAACAGCAACGCTACGTCCACTGAAGACAAAGCTGCGCAGCGAAGGGCACGCGACGCTGAGCGCAAACGCTTGAAGCGAGCGGCAGACCCTGAACTACGGCAACGAGAAGCGGCGACCATTCGTCAACGTCGAGCGGCGGATGCTGAACTACAACGTGAAGCAGCGGCGGTTCGAGAACGTCGAGCAGCAGAAGCTGAGGTTCGGGACCGTGAAGTTCAACGTAAACGTACGAAGCGAGCGGCGGTTCGAGAACGTCGAGCAGCAGAAGCTGAGGTTCGGGACCGTGAAGTTCAACGTAAACGTACGAAGCGAGCGGCGGAACCCGACCTTCGAGAACGGGAAGCCGCGTTGGTTCGTGAACGTCGAGCAGCAGAACCTGAGGTTCGGGACCGTGAAGTTCAACGTTACTAACACCGTTAATAACGATCCGCGATGCTCCGCATCACCTCATGGTTCCCCTCGGGAAGATGGTGTAACTTTTTTTTTATACATGACTCTAGTTACCATCTATCCATCTTATTTCTTGACCCATTCTTACTTCTCCCATCTATAACAGTAAAGGATGCCCTTTTAACACTGCAATCAGTTATTTTAAGGTCTATTCACACGACGCATCTTGTTCGCGAATCTTGTGTCGTGAAACTATGTTTTGGGAAACAGATGTCCCGTCTGAACGCGACCAAAGAAGTGGCGTGCCTCCAAAAAAAAATGAAAATCGTTTACAACTGCCTTTAACGCTGAATTAGAGCGTAGCTCTTGAGGGGGAGGAGGGAAGGGTACTGATGGGAGAGTATACCCCTCCCTCCTCCCCTCGTGATCCTGCCTGCTACTTCTCCCCTCCTCCCTCGTCCTTCTCCCCTACTCCTCTTCCTCCACCCCTCCTTCTCCTTCACCTCCTCCTCCTTCAACTTCCTCCCCTCGTCTCCTCCTCCTCCCTTCTCCTCCACCTCTCTCCTACTCCTGTCCTTCTCGGGAGGGGTCACGTGACTTCGGGGGGGGGGGGGGGGGGGGGGGGGGGGCGTCATATGATTTTGGGACGCCGCTCAAGCCGGAAACGGGCCCTTAAAAGCTGCGCTCTAAAAGGTTACGCGCGCTCCTCACTTCTGGAGCAATATTTATCTGAAACCTTCTCGAGGCCTGTCAATCCCCCAAAGGAGAAACGCAGACGCCGCCGATGACCGCTCGACATCGCAACGACGACTGACCTTCGAGACGCTGCAATCTTTTGGAGGAGCCTGACTTTAAGCCGATCCCATATCCAATCCAAAGGCCGAAAAGAGAAAACAAACATGGCGGCGAGCGGCAGGCGGAGACGCGGTGCGTACAGGCAGTACAGGCTGGTGCAGTCACTGTGCAGTTGGTGGCGTGGTGCAGATTCCTCCGGTTGTGACAAGTGCAAGCACTACACATAAATGTGATGATGGCTATAACTGGTCTTTTAGCAGTGCAAAAATGTCGGAAATACTTCAAGATCATCCACCGGTCCTTTGACGTTTGCAATGTTTCCCCGGATTGGCAGGCCTAGTAAACTGAGTAAGCTGAACCCTATGAAGTTTATCAAGTGGTATTAATAAAGCAGACTGTATCTTCGCATTGCGCATACTTCGTATTATTTTTATGCAAAACACTCGATATTCCCAGTGCCCAAACAAGGTGTGGCGAAATTCTCGTGGCTCAATATCTCGCAGGCTTCACGCGTCAAATCTTACGTGTGAACGTTCAAATTTCGCGATATTTCAGTTTCGCTAAACCAATGCACGTTGCAAAGATGCGTCGTGCGAATAAGCCTTTATTTTATAACCCCCTTCCCCTTCCCTTGCTGGCATAGGGTCCCCCATCACTCTGGCAGTTCCCCGTGGGCTCCCAGACACATCAATGCTTGAGAACCGCTGCTATAAGGAATGCTATGTCCAGGTTGTTTTCCAGAGAGCTCAGTGTTTGCCCAACACAAGGCCTGCCAGCTAGATTCCTTACGTCATCTTCCTAGATCGAACAAAGGGCACGAGGTAGACAAGCATTCAATTGGTGCTTCGTTCACTCAACACCAACCCCAGCCGTAAGCAGACGCAGCATTTGGATGCATCATTCGAATGCATCGTGAGAAACACGAGCAAATAATCCGTGTCATTGTTGTCCCCACGGGCTTAGCTCTCAAGTTGGCTGCTACAGTCACAGCCAAGGTGAGAACAGCAAGAAGGAACTGTGTTTGTCCTGCCTGAGGTACAACCTTCCTACCTTCTACGACCCTTGGGCGCCTCGTTCACCTGCAGCGCGCAGCAAAAGCACAGCAGAAGGCACGGAGCGCATGCTGGAAGCCAGGCGTTCTAAATATGCGTTCTCCCATTCTCACTTCGTGAGCAACTATTGGGGCACGGTTGTTGGATCTCTTCCCCAATAGTCGGGGACAGCCGGTAACACTTTGGCGCACGCGCAGCCGAAGCACGGCAAAGGGCAACGAGCACGTGCCGGAGGCAGAGCTTCTGCATTCTCAACCCATCTCCATTATTAAATATCACAAACAAAGACTGTGGCAAGACTAAAAGCATCTTTCTTTTCTTTTTTTTTTTCCATAAATGGCGTTATTTAGAAGAGAAACAACGAAGAAACGCAAGAGAGGCACGGACGGCACTTGTGGACGCCTTGGAGGTCCGCAGCAGTTCGTCTTTCGCGCACCGCTGCTAGGACGGGGGCTGCGACGACGAGAGGCTCTTGTAGGCGAGCAGTCCGACCCCGAGCACCAGGGCGGCGCCCAGGGAGAGGCGCTGGAGCAGGCGGCGCCGCTGCTGCCAGGCCTCCGACGAGCGTTGCTTCTGCCGCATGCGCTGCACCGTCTGCGCCGTGCGTTTCAGCCGCTCCCGGCGCTGGCGCTGGCGCAGCTCCCAGTCCTCGCTGCGCACGACACAAGACGCCAGTCAGCGGCCGAAGCAACGGTCGTCGTCGGCGCTCGAGAGCCTCCCGCCAACGCCACTTAAAGGGGCGCTAAACCACTTTGTGCGTTAGTCTATTTACGGTCGTAACCCCATCTGTCGGCTCTAAGCGTCCAGAAAAACCAAACATTACATTCGTGCATGGCCGATTTCTTTACTCAAACTGGTATCAGAGATTGATTACCTCGGAACTATTGCAAACACCAGAAGGCGCCGTCGGACATGAAGGGCTTCCCCTAGTCCGCCGGTCATAAGTAGACTGTTGCAGAAAGTGGTTTAGTGCCCCTTTAAGGCGGGAAGCAAACTTAAAACCTATTTTTCTTTTTTAGTTTTTTTGTAAGATATTTTTAAGGTACATTTATAGCACATATATAAGAGTAACTGCCAAGTTTCATGTGCCCATGGGTACCTAATTTACAAAAAATGTTCAGTATGGTTCATTTGCTTCCTTTATCCCAGGCCTGAAGAAATCGCAAAACATAGTGGGAATGTGAGATTTAATATAAGCATTCCTGGATAGGCACCCCAGGGCATGACAAAACTATTTTTATTAATTTATTTTCAAAAATTGCTGCACAGTATTGAATTTTATGTTGTTGGTCATATCCTCATCCATCAAATTTAATTTGAGTATAATAAACTTTTAAACACACTTTTCTAAAAAAGGAAGCTTGTCATGCCCTCACACAATTATTTAGAAACAGAATTAAAAAAGCTGCAGGTAAATTCATTAGACAGTTCCCGAAATATTGGTGGGGTAAGCGTCAATGCCAGCGGAAAAATTCACTTTGAGAAAATGGAAGTTGAAAGTTGCACACACATTTTCAGCATCTAGCCCATTTTACGTGGCGTGATTCTGCTTCCAATTTTCATTACTGTGCGGCAAAGAACTTCTGGACACAGTATGCATGCACGTAAGCCACTGTCCATGGCTTATATTCATTTGTTTTCTGTCGAGCGAGCAACGTTACAACCGACAATTACAAAAATCGCAGCCGCGGAGTAGCTGGAAATGTCCTTGCGTACCTTATTTTTGTTCCGCTGTTGTTTTTAGTTAAATTTGACGGCCAGTGGCACAGATGGAAGAATCAATCTGAAGTAGTGACACGATGAGCATCAGTGTCCCGCCGCACAGAGGCGAGCCGCTGATGTAGCTTCCGATGGTCGCCATGCAAAGAAGCTTGCGTGGACTGCCTCTGAGCGTCAAATGCGTGCACCATCTCCTAATTCATTCCCCGCACCTCTTGCGGCCATGAAACACACGGGCAAAGTATGCAAAACTACTAAAATAAAGAACTGCAAACGATTGTAAAGATGGCAAAAAGCGAAGAGGAGTTGACAAAGCGCAGGAACAAACAGACGATGCGAGGCGGCGAGACGTGCTTTGGCAACGGACGGAGAACAAACGTCGCAGCCGATAGTAGTAGTAGCACGCTCCCTTGGGCAGGCACTTGGGCCAATCACTACTTCGCAATCGCAAGGAGGGAAAACGGAGGTCACGCCAAAACTATGCTGCTGCAAGCACCAACTTAAAGGGCGGCAAAAAGAAGAAAAAAAAAATCTCCGCTTCAAAACAAGACCAAGATGGTGGCCGTCCGCCAAGTTGACAGAGTGAAAATCACCCAAAGTTTATTATTAGCCGCAAGAACGAGCTTGCAATCAGTGTAATGATTGGTTGCTCTATCCTCGCCGTGGCGTCACGGGCAGAGCAGCGGTTTTTGTCCCCAGGAGATTAGGATCGTGCGAACAAAAATATAGGCCCTGTGGCACTGTAGGCACGATAATTCTTGCCTTGCAAGAATAAGGCAAAAATTATCATGGAATATATTATCAGCCAATACTAAATCGCTTCCAAGACGGCTCTAAAACACTACTCAGAAAAACCTTTTTTCCTTTTTTTCTTTAAATAGATAAATCTAGAAACTGAAATAAGGTATTCTCTGCTGAAATAAGGACTATACTCGTCGGTGCACCGATCTCATGCTTTCAAACTTGAATCGGTCATAGTATGCGACGAAGACCACTGCGGAGGTGGCCACAGTACATGGCTCACTGATACGCAAACATTCGACTTTATCTCAGTTTCGCTCGACATATAATTAACTCAATTCAAAAAAAAAAAAAAAAGAAAAAAAAATTCTACTTGTGATTTTGTAAGAAATATAATCACATAGCCCACAAATCAACCAGAACACTTTTACTCTTTTACTATGTGCAACAGCATTTACTTATTTGAGTGATTTGCGGTGGCAGCGTCTCGTCCGGGCGAACAAAACAACAACAAATCCGGTGGTCGGTAAAATATGCTAGGGCCTTAGTGGCAATTCAGTATTGAGAAGCGATTAATCGGAACACGTAATTATGGAAGTTTTTGTTTTAATAACTTGTTTGAAGCATAGCTTTGTCACAATAAAACTATGCACTTTGTCACATTAAAACTATGCTTTGATCAGTATGTGTATAAGATGCAACACTAACTAAACTGGGGTTATTAATTTTTTGGCATTTCGGCAGTACAACAGATAGTTCTGATTTCGTGCCATTTAGAAAACGCACACCGATTTAGGAATCGGGGTGACCGCTGAAATCTGGTGCTCTAGAAAAATAAGTTGGGACTCTAATGGCTGCTTATGGTATCAAGAACTCACATAAGGAGATCACACTTTTTAGAGCGAGTAGCTTTATTTTTCAAAGCACTGCTCCACGGGAATGAAAAGTAGGCTCTGAGGGGCCGTTATTTAGGACGCAAAACCATTCTGACTTGTAGTAGATTATTTCGCAACATTATGACACGACACATGGCATATTTCGTTTTGTAATCACGATATGGCATATTTAGTTTTTGTAATGACGATATCAACAGTCCACACGCTATTTGGAAATCGTACTGTACGAAAAACCTCGGAACGCAAAGAACTGATCCAAATGAATCCAAAGTATCAGGCAGCTAAATGAGGCGTTCTCTAACCGCGTTTTTTTCTTCCTAATCCAGTAAGAATGGGACAAAGGGCCCCTTCGCGATGGCCTCGGAGGCCCACAACACTCCTTGCTATCCTCTTTTTGAACGAATAAAAAACAAAACCATCGCAGAGCCCTCTGCAGGGCGGTGGGATGGGCTTTCAGGGTCAAGCCAATTGCTGATAACCGGAACAAAAAGTCGGGCTTTTTCTTTATTTTTATTTGGAAGTAAAACTATATTGCGTAAGCAGTTGAGTGAAAAGGCTTCCCCCCCAGTGCCATCTGGATTTTGAAAAAGTTCCTATCGGAGATGAAGTTCTACTGCTATATCCTCTTACATTCGAAGATTGTAAAATGGTAGAAGTCTTTTGTAAGGAATGAAACTATTTTAACGAAACACAAAGTAAATAACCAAAAGATATAGAAAATAATGGACAGATTTACAAATTATTTGCCGCATCAGTTCAGACAGTCCACTTTTCTCCTGCGGTCACTCACTATGGTGACCACTTGACGATGACAACAAACCTTCCGTGCCGCCACTTGAATTGCTGCCCGCGCTGTTCTGTGTGTTCCATGACACATCTTCTTCAGAGCCGTTATTGCAGTTTGCGATGCAGCACTTCTTAAAAGGGGAACTGACGGGTCAAAATCTTTTTTTTATTATTATCTGAAAAGACTGAAAACGATGCCTGGTCATTACCTTCAAAATTCGAAGCTTGGAAACTCAATATTAGCGAAGTAAAAAAAAAAAAAACAATTTCCAAAAGCCGAATTTTACGTTCCTGCGCTAATCCGTCCCAGTACTGTGACATCAAAGACAAAGTCGTCCTGTAACTTGAGTTCTTCTCCTGCCTCTGAAACGCCTCAACCGGAAGTGTCGTGTTCACCCGCATAACGTGATCGAGTGCGCTTCTCCGTGCATGCTGCCTATCACTGCGAGCAGACGACGCTTTACTTTTAAGTTTAAAGTTCTTTTAAGGCCGTTTCAACAGTTGACTTTTGGCGAAAGGCTGCCCTGCAGCGGAGTCGCAACCGAAAGTGTGCTGCACAGGTTCTTGAAGAATGCATCAGAGAAGGCGGCCTGGCTAGTTGCAATTCCTGGAAGACTACTCCAAAGTTACGGACCGAAGTCCTTCATTTGTTCTCGACACCTTGTCGACGAGGATTATGAGGTCAGCCTAAGCGCCTGCAGTGTTGGGATCAAATGGTACCTCGGTTGAGGCATGGCGTCTTTCTGACAAACTTCCCGCAGCGGGTCCAAGGCCAAAGGTAAGTCTACCAAACATGAAGAACTTGGTCCCATTACCCAACTCCTCGATTTTTACTGCGACAGGTGCCGAGTGCCACCATGTTTTCCGAGGAAGGATAAAAAAGCCAGGACGCAACATTACTTCCGGACTCATGTTTTATAGTATTGACACGACCGTAAGTCGACTCGACTGTAAGTCGACTCGATTGTAAGTCGAGTCCTCCACATTAAACATCAGCAAAAAAAAACACTTTAAATGCGCATTTCATTGCGAACACGTGAGAACGGCAAAGTATCTGTTTCGAAAGCAAAGCCTCCAACACGCGATCGATGCCTTCTGGCATGCTTTGGCTGTGCATTGAAGCCGCTCCCCATTTTTCTCACCCTGTTCGCGACTAGACTATGACTCGTCAGCACTGGTGATGTCAATCCTGTCGTCATCACTGCTACGTCCTCAAAGCACGTCGTCGGCATTGTCCAATAACATCTCGCACTTCGCAAATGACAGCATCAACCTCATCTTCCACACTTGCTCGGTGATCGCGTTCCTTGGCACGGGTAGGGACCAATTGTGCACTGTTGCAGCGTACGTTGAAAGCCTCATCTCCAACTCCAAGAGGAATCCCCACCTATGCAGACTTTGGCCTGCGGAAGCCTCTTTGTTTGCCGTCATAGTTTAAGATCCCGCGCCATTGCAGACTCCGCTGGAACATCACCTGCTCCGACCGGTCGAACTTGCATCCAACATCACA